CCCATCTGCATCACAACGCGGAGTTTCAAAAACTGTACTGCTGACCAGTTCTCCGTTGACATCACACGAGTACCATGGGAAACTGTGAAATTAATGGCCTCAGTGGATGACAGAGTGGATGCTTTTAACAACCTCTTTCTAACATGTCTTGATAATCATGCCACCATAAAAACTCTGAAACTAAAGCGCAAATCAAATCCATCCATCACTGCTGTGATCAGGGAACGGATAAATACAAGGAATAAGCTCCATAAGCGGGCGCGTAAGAGCGGAAGCCACGAGGAATGGAAAGCTAATAAATAAATATGTGTCCGAGAGGTGAACTTGGGACGCCTCTGCTCAAACTTCTTAATTGCAAGCGTAACAACAACCTCAAGAAACCTCACCCCAGCACCCCGGGGTTGTAAGATTGCATGTAAACGCGTTTTATTTTTCGACCACGGTTAGGCAGGTTACCTCACTTACCTGGGGTCCCCCACCACCACGTAAACAGGCCCCCACCACCACGTAAACAGGCCCCCACCACCACGTAAACAGGCCCCCACCACCACGTAAACAGCCCCCACCACCACGTAAACAGCCCCCACCACCACGTAAACAGGCCCCCACCACCACGTAAACAGGCCCTAAATGTAAAGTGTTGACGTTTGCCGCGGGCTTTATGGTAAATATATACTGTATGCGGAATCACGGGTGGTAACGGAGCGGGAATATGGACTGAATATGTGAGGGAGGGATGGAGAGCCGTTATTCTTAATTTTTTTTTATAAGATTTAGCGATTGTAAGATTTTTTAGAACATTTTTGAAACAATTGTAACATTTTACAAGGGTAGTAAGATACCGTATTTATTATTTTCCTCTTTTATTTTAATGCACCGCCCCCTAAGCTTATAGCTTTAATTATCAACGTGGATAAATACATTTATTGTATTGTATTGTATTGTATTGTATTGTATTGTATTGTATTGTATTGCATTGCATTGCATTGTGCGAACTGGCAAATGACCAACATCAATGCATTTAGACCAACAATGCATTTAGACCAACATCAATGTATTTAGAACCTCCTGTTTATTGGAGATATTTGTAGGGGAAATAGAGAAAGTAGAACTTTCAAGTACAAAAATCCCAACTGGTTAAAGTTAACCTTTTCACTGCTGAGAAAATGTAGCACCTAAAGTAACTGAATCTTACTTGAAACAACCGAGAACCAATCTAGGTGACTTTTGAACATGGGTCCTCCAGATATCAAATCCAAAGCCCTGAACCATATGACCACACCACCTCCCAAAAGAATCAAGTCACATTTATTTCATATTCAGCGTAAGGAATTTTTCGCAAATTCTTCCGGCGAAGCATTGTAAACAAGTCCAAAAAGGTAGTAAGAATATTTTCCCGGTTTGAGTGTCACTGATGTACTCTTTCTGTCTTCAGGTTGGATCAGAATGAGTTGCAAGTGGATGAAACAATTTATACTCTTGCAGTACATTTCTTCGCATTAAAATGCGATGAAAGAAGTATCAGACTGTTGGAAAGAAGTACTTCTAAACACTGTGATGGAGTGTCTGTTGTTTTCGTTTCTTGGCATAGATGGAAGCAACAGTAGTTGATGGAGGGATTAGCAAATTACAATAGAAACAGCAACGAGTTTAGATGAGGACAATATATGGACCATAGAATAAAACATAAATAAAGCACAAAAATTAAAAGAATGATCTATGGTGTCAAGGCCGGGCTCCAGGGGGGAGGGGGACTCGAATATAAAAAAAGAGGGGGATGTTCGTCGAGAATTTTGAAATTGACCCCTAAGGGAGACCAATTAACCCAACTAACCCTAAGCAATTACTACGTGGCTCGCGCATTTTTTGACCCCTATAAGAGACTAATCTGAGCGTGGCTCCAGCATTCTTGGCTGCATTCCTTCGCGCGCAACCCTAAGCGAGACCCTGAAGGCTAAAAATATTGATAATTTTCCCTCAAAACCCTAAGCGAGACCAAAATCTGAAATTTACCATCCTAAGCGAGACGACGAGCATCCTCACCTTTTTTTATATTCAAGTCCCCCCCCCCCCCCCATCCCCCGCCTCCGGGGGCCGGGCCTCTGCTTTTTATGTCGGAACTTCATATAAAGTGTCGAAAAAGCGTGGATTACTGAAACTGGGAAGAGAACGAGATGAATACCGAACCGTCCTCTCGACGAATATGAAGTATTGTTCCTGAATTCCTCGCTCTTTTAAACAGGCTTTACCCTCAGAAAATAAAACTTTATTTCGCTAAATATTAGGAAAGTAACCACAATATGTTCAAGGGCTATTTTTGCTTCTTTTACTTCAAAAATTACTCGCATTCCTTTAGTTTGCCATGATTACATATCCACTGGTATATGCTTAGAAGTCCCTTACGCTTTTAATCCCCGTTTTACGAAGCTGCAGACAGTTGCATCTGACCTGAAAAGATAGAATTGCCAAAAACAAAATATTAAGTACTGACCATCAATCTGTTTTGACGACGTAATTCTCCTCTTAGGCGAGCAGGTTGTCGCGCTGGTGAGAGCGCTCGTCTCTCACCGATGGCTGGCCCGTTTTTGAGACGGCGTGCGCTTCTCGAAAGCGTTTAACCTTTACGGGACTATTTCCGGCGTTTGCCAAAATTCCTTGAATGTATATCTTAACGACAAAATATGTTTCTAAGCGTGAAACATCGCAATAACGTTGTCCTTTCATATCTGGAAAGTAATTAAAAAGACCAGCTTTTTAGAATGACCGAAACAACTTTTCAGCCTCGGAAATTATCTCTTGCGGAGATTTGAGAAACGGGCCCCCAGCTGCAGAGCCGATAGGGTCATATTTGGGTTGATGTTGTTGTTCCCTGTTGATTCAGTTTTCCCCTCTTCTCAAAAACCAATATTTCTCAATTCCAATTCCATCAGGAACGCAAAGACAAAGGGTGCTTTGCGGGTAAAACTACAATGATTTAAATATTTTACATAAACATGTTTTTGTTTATTGTAAATTTGCAACGTATTTTATGTCTACACTATACCGTACAGCTTATTATGTCGACATGAGAAGTATTCCGACCTGGTATGAGCAGAAACGGCCGAGAACCTATTTGATAGGTGACGATTCATTTCGAAGATCGACGCGGTGAAGCTTCTCTCCGTTACAGAAACCGCCTCGAAATCTGCAGCATTTTATGTGTGAACAAAAGCCTCATCCGATATGGTTTCGCACAAGTACATATACACCTGGTGATATTTACGAGCAGCAAATCCACTTAAAAGTTCTCTAACGTGCTTCCTTAAAATCGTCAAAGATATTCAACTGAGGAATTAACAATTTAACCTGTCTCAAAACCAGTGTTTATTTCCTTAGCACTTATCACACGTGAATTTGCAGTCCTTGTAAAATGTAGGATTGCTGCAATGGCCACGCTGTTTGTTATAGTTGCACCAGCTGCAGCTCGCATGGTCCTTACAACCTAAAAACATAAAAATCGTAGAGATGATGTGATTTACCCCTGATTCGACCGCTGTCTACTGATGCACCCACATTGTAATGGAGCTCCTACGCGCTCTGAAGGAGCGCGCAAGCGGAGCCCCTAAGAAAATATGGTAATATGTTTTCTGGACCGTAAGCGTACCGTATGGTCACGGCACAGGCCCTAAGGTGTGATTGTTTGCGTTAATCTGTGAGGGTTGGTACAGTTCGTCAAGGCAGTACCGAATCGGTCCGTGTTGCATAGTCAGTCGTGGAGCAAGTCAATTGATTGTCGTGGGATGTGATCCGTCCCTAACAGTTCGATAATGCTAGACATAACAATATGAAACAATCGCATTCTTTAGTATGGAGAAAGGAAAAAACTTGATGAGCAAATTAAGAGCTACTGAGTACAACCAGAGCAGTCAAACAGTTTGTGTATCACATGACTTCGATGATAGTTTTAAAATAACTTACCCGGGCAGCGACCACAAGTCCTAAGGCACTTCTCAAATACGGATTCTAAATGACAGTTATGTTTGTGGATCTCGCACCATGCACATTTCTCTGTGTTCTTGCACTGCCATTGACGATTAGCAAAGACACCTGCCGAAAAGTCGCAAAAAAACTGCGAGGGTGAAGAGGAAAAACGGCAAAACTAGGTTTAAGTTGGAATGTAGAATTCGTTCTCTGTTCATAAGTAGTTATAGTTTAGTGAACACATTTAAATTTGATGTAGGGTGCGGACTCTTCTAAAAATGATCCAGCAAAAATTCCCATTGAAACCTCAACACTTACCGCGTACATCATAGTCGTCTTGCACCGGATTCCCCAATACAACTGTTACGTATATAAACAACAATACACAAATTTGTTTCATATTGTACATTTTGGTTGCTGGTTTAGATTTTCTTCAAGTATCTCCAATATCGTCACTGCAAACAAAGAAAAAAAGGTGGGTGAAATAACTGAAAGTCATTTCAAAGAGGTTACCTGCTATCGTAATCACTAAATTTGACTCAATTCCGTCACCAATGTTTATCAACAGACAAACTGAAGGTCGTTTTCCAAGCCATGCATTTAAGTTCGATGCTAGTATCAGTGAACTTGTATTAAATGTCAGGCGTAAGAATTTTTTTTTCAAGAACACACGTTCAAATACTTTCAAGCATGAGCCACAAGGAGGAATCCTCTCACCTACGCAACTGACTCTGCTGTGCTCTTCCCTGGAACCGAGAAAAAATGCCCAGTGCTGTAGAAGGGCAAAGCTGCCGTTTTATATAGTGCTGTTCATTCTGCTAAAAACCAATCAAAATCTACCACCTAACAACATTGGCCGTTTTTATACTAGAGGACGCATTATCCGTCCAGACGGATAATGCGTCTCTTGTGGTATGCGTCTAGTGTAAAGACGGGACGAATAACAAGACGAACTACGAAAGACGAACGAGATATTCCGCGCGGCGAAAAAAAAAAAAGAATGGGCACTAGTGTGCCTTGTTTGGCGGTAAAATTTAAAGATGGCGGCCGCGCTTGAACTTCTCAAATTTTTTTCCTGTAAGAGAAAGGCAGAACAAGAGTTTTTAGGTCACCAATATAGGTTAAAGGAAGAAATGGCAAAGAAACGTTTTCGTAGGGAGATGGAGTTCGAAACTGAAGCTTCACAGCCCGCTGTTATGTCAGCAATCGTGATTACAAAAAGCGACAGAAACGAGCGTGGTCCTGATGAGTTGAGGAACGGAAATTGGTGGACAGACGGATATCAAAACTGGGATGAAGAATCTTTCAAGAAAAGGTTAAGGGTGTCTCGAGACACTTTTGAATTTATTCTAAGCGAAATTAAAGACCTTATCGTGAAGGAGCCCACTCGCATGAAGCCTCACCCTACTCCGCCTGCTACCCAGTTGGCTTTATGTCTATACAGACTAGCACACGGGTGCACGTTTTTGACCGTTGGAGATCTCTTTGGAGTTGCAGAATCAACTGCTCACATCATTTTCCAAGACGTTTGTAAGGCCATTGTGGGATGTTTGTATGACAGATTCGTTTACCTGCCAAGAAATCTACAAGAGTGGAGTCAAGAACTGGAAATTTTTCTGGGAAATTGGGAGTTTCCTTGTGTTGGGGCGTGAGATGGGTTTCATGTTTACGTAAGCACTAAACTTAAGAACTTTTACAGTTACAAGAAGAGGTATTCAGTTACAAACATGGGATTCATTGGTTATAACAAGCGTTTTATGTGGGCTGCAGTGGGCGCCCCAGGATCCACACATGACTCTAGGCTTTTAAGAAGTTGTGGTATTTATTCTGACATCGAATCTGGTCACGTGCTTCCTAACAGGTCTTTGAATCGTGACCCTCATGGGGAGATTCCGTTTACCACTGTGGGTGATTCAGTCTTTCCCAACCATTCCTGGCTTCTAAAACCATACAAAGATGGGACAAGGGTACCTAGGCAAAGGTATTTTAACAGGAGACTTTGCTCTGCAAGGGTAGTTTCTGAACATGCTTATGGAATGTTAAAGGGGCGGTGGAGAATTCTCTAGAAAAAGACAGAATGTCATTTAGACAACATTTCCCTCATCATCATGACCTGCATTGCTCTCCATAATCTTTGCATCCACCGAAGTGATCCCTGTAACCCCAGGTGGAGACTTCAGGTCAATGAACTCAATCTGATTCGAAATGGAGATGCCCAAGCTGATGATGGAAATACAACAAGAGAAGCCGTTGCCAATTGGTTGTGGAATATCAGAGAGGAAAGAAATGCAGCCCCTTGATTCTGTATTCAAATTAATAACGAAGGCAAAAACTGAGAAACTGAACTTTACTTGATCCTTAGCAGATTTGATGGAAAACAGGTTTTGTTACATGTAAATAGATTCAAATTTGATATTCAAAATATTTTTCAAACATTTTCCTTTCACAATAGATATAGGAAATAATATTTGTTGATACATTAAGTATGAACCAGAATTTTTGCTTTCCTTTCATCCATTAGTGTAAAAATTACTGCTATTTCAAGTTATTTTAAGTAATCTGGAAGTAAAATACTCTATGCTAAAGCAACCAAACAACTAGATAAACTGGTAAAAAGGGGGGAGTAGGACAAAATCATAGGGAGGGGGTCAGGTTTATTTTTTTATATGAAAGGGGATGGATTATTCTTGAAGGCAGTATAAAATGACATGTATTAAGGCAAAAATAGGAGGACAAACAACAACAACAAAAATGAACATGAAGTTCTTATATCAACTAAACAAAAACAGCACAAAAGAAATACTTAATTGTCATTCTCAAAAACCGAGGTTGGTTAAAAGCTTGAGACTGCTTAACAGTCTGATATGAATTATTGGCTTGAAATATTATGATGAAAGACTTGAACTGGTATTTTTACCTACTTGACATAAGTTTTTACATCATTTCAAGTCTTTCAATGGTATTTCCAACCAATTCATGACAGTCCAAAGCAAAAAAGCCTTGGTTTCAAAGAATAACAAGTATTTTTGCTGCTGTTTTCTTGTTTATTTGTTGTTGGAACTTCTTGTTAACCTCATCCTCATAGAGGGCATACTGGGGCGGGGGGTGGGGGGGGGGGAGTCATAGCCTAAAAAATAACATTTATTTGAGGGGTGAGTCAAAAAGTAAATGAAAAATTTTCAGGGGTGGGTCAAGAATAAAACTTATTGCTTAAAAAAAATTCCCTCCCCCACCCTTTACATAAATAATGACCAGTACCTAACCAATACATCCAATTCTATAGAAGTGTTATAAAGTTGTAGTTCCGTTAAACTTTGTAACAATGGTTTGTTTCAATTACAGAACAGTAATGATGTTAGTGTCTGGATCACTGGTTACATTTTGGTACCTTTATCACAACTGACAATAAATGGATTACAAGTAAACACAACTGCCTGTAATAACATGTCTGAGGTTTCAAAACGCAAGAGGGAAGCTCATGCCCCCTTAAATTCACAGTATTGCTCAATCAAGATAAGTGTGATAGAGGACCCTGTCTATAGAAAAGAAAAGTCCACCACCAACTCCTCCATAAACATGAGTCTCCCACCCTTAATGGAACTCTTGCTAATACCAACGCATGGATCTTTGATCATTCTGGCTATCCATGTCTAAAATGTGGCTATCTTGGCTACCACTAGCCACTTGATTGGTTGGAGGGGTATGGCTATGTGGCATTGGATTGTAATAAGGTACAAGAGGCTGCACAGGCATTGTTTGTTGTTGGAGATGCTGCTGTGCTCCTTGGGGTGGAGGATTTGAATATTTCATGATGATTTGAAGCATCTTTAGCTCATGCTGCCTATTCAATTCGGCTTGCTCTTTCTGAAAAGCAAGAAATTCAGCATGCCTTTCTTTGTCTGCTTCCATCATCTTTTCACAACGCTTTTGCTGTGATTCTCCAAGTGCGTGAAAACTCTTTGCGATCTCATTTATGGCCTGGGACTGACTTCTTACTCGTTTGTTACGACCTAATGGTTTTACGTCCAATGAATTTTTTAAAACTTTCCTTTTAACACCTTCGGTTCCACTCTCACTTGCGGAGGTTAACTCTTCCTCACCATCATCTTCCTGATAACTGCTATGACTTGTTTCTGTCTGCTCCTCGTCACTGTCTGTGTCTGAATTCTCATGAGACAAAACATCTCTTGCTTTGGAAGCAATTTCCAGGTTACCGTGGGTGTCCGAAAAAATTGGATTTATGATTTTGTACCACTCAGGCTCTTCAATTGGTGACTTACCACTACCTTTCTTGATGCGATCCGTGTATTTACGCCATTGATCTTTTATCCACTTAAATTTCACTCGAAGCTTTTCAACATCAATTCTCAGATGAGCTAAAGCCTTTTTCGATTTAGACTGACGATGTTCTCTGTCATTTTCTTCTTTAAATTCTTATCTATCCACTTAAATTTCACTCGAAGCTTTTCAACATCAATTCTCAGATGAGCTAAAGCCTTTTTCGATTTAGACTGACGATGTTCTCTGTCATTTTCTTCTTTAAATTCTTCGGAGGATATGCGCTCCTCAAAGGCTTTCTTTATATCCTCGAAGACAGGTTTGTTTGCAGTCTTCTTCAACGCAAGCGTGTCCAGTTTGTAAGCAAACTCGTTTGTTTCGTCTGCCAGAACAAGGGCGAAGTACTTGAGCTCTGTTTCTGTCCATGGTCGACTTCGCTCTTTTGCACTTGACTCCGCCATGTTGTTTTCTTGGGCGGATAACCGCTGGCTTTTTTCCGACACGGTCTCATTTCTTAACGTTATTCGTCCGTGGCCCGTCTTTACACACAAAGACGCATTATGCGTCCAGACGAACTACCTTTCGAAGTGCGTCGTTCAAGACGCATTTCAAATGAAAGTTCGTCTAGACGTATAATGCGTCTTGTGCCCGTCTTTACACGAGAGACGCATAACCGGACGAACTACAAATGTTTGCCCAAGTTCGTCCAGACGGATAATGCGTCTCTAGTATAAAAACGGCCATTTATGTTAAGCAAAACTTTTCTTAGTGAATCAAGTTGAGCACGTAAGCAGAATTTTCCTCTGTGAAGATTAAGCAATTAAGCAGAACTTCCCTCTGCTGTAAATATCAAGCATTTAAATCTGAGGGCTTTTCGCACACAATGTACCCCTAAATTCCTAGCTATTTTATGGCGTTTAGCGGGAACAAGCGAGTTGAAACTCAGGATTGCGTTACCATTTAGAAATATTTTGTTTGCGTGAGATGAATAATTTCAGTAGAGTATGATAAGTCTGACAGTTTGGCTCATGGCTGTTGCGATTTCAGAATAACAAACGGCCACAACAGAAACATTTTCTGAAGAATTCGGAAGAACGTGATGTAATCTGATACTTTTGTACTTCTCGTAAAGGAATGCAATATTATACTTTGTTTGTCTTCCATAGCATAAATAATTGTAACATGACACTTCTGTTGTTCATTGAAAAGAATAGAGAAGTAATGTTTATGTTATATGGTACTCGCCCTCTTTCAAACATAATAATCGGCTTTCCTTTTCTCGCTGTGCGACATTTTACTTGCAAACGAATTCGTAACCCACAATAACAACGTTGTAAGAAAAAAGTTTTTAGGAGAGTTTGGAAGAACGCGATGTAATACGATACTCTTGTTTCTTTTGCAAGGGAATGCTGATATATTTTTTCTTCTACATTGTATACATCTCCAGCATGATACTCGTTTTTCGTTGTACATTTTGGTAATTACTACGTGTGCTGTGCGTTTCACGGGGAAAATTTCTCGTGTACATGCGAGTGCAATCGATAACGTAGAATTAATTCGCAGCTCATGCGTTAAGAGGAAACTCCTTAAGGAGTACCACATGGATGATAATGGGTCATCCGAAAGAATTATATATTTGTCTATTTACATTAGATACTATGTTGTCTCTATTCCCGCCCCAAATTTTACAACCTAGCTCCAAAGATCCCAAGATCCTAGTTCCATAGCGGCTGATCACTTAGACTCGCCCTTTACCATTCCGCTCATCGTGTATTCTGTGCTAATAAGAAACCATATTGCGTAGTAAATACACAAACATTTGTAGCCACTTTGATAAATTTGTATTTTAATTAGAAAAGTTAGTTGAAAGTCGAGTTTTGTGTGGAATGAAAGCTTGGGGCCTAAGTAAATTGATCCCATAACTTAACAGCTTGATTACGTTGTATAGGATTGTATCAGCAGGACAAATATCGGATTACTTTCGACACTCAATTGAAAATAACAGAAACTTATGCTTTGTGAATATTGATAAACTAAATAGGAACAGAAACTTATGCTTTGTGAATATTGATAAACCACCCAAAATAGATCAGAACAGAAACACCTGCTCTTTGAATATAAACAAATCACTCAGACGAAAGGCATTCAGCAATTTATTAATTAAGACTCAAAGAGCAGGTGTTTCTGTTCTGATCTATTTTGGGTGGTTTATCAATATTCACAAAGCATAAGTTTCTGTAGAAAAAATATATCAGCATTCCCTTGCAAAAGAAACAAGAGTATCGTATTACATCGCGTTCTTCCAAACTCTCCTAAAAACTTTTTTCTTACAACGTTGTTATTGTGGGTTACGAATTCGTTTGCAAGTAAAATG